CTGAGGGGATGGAGGATGGGTCTGGGGGTCCCTGAGGGGTTGGAGGGTGGGTCTAGGGGTCCCTGAGGGGTTGGGTGCCATGCCCAGGGGTCCCTAAGGGGATGGTGGATGGGTCTGAGGCTCCCTGAAGGGATGGCAGGTGGGTCCGGGGGTCCCTGAGGAGACGGCCGATGGGTCCTGGGGTCCCTGAGGGGATGAGTGCCATGGCCAGCAGCCTCTGAGGGGATAGAGGAGCCGTTTCTAGGGTTTTGTAAGGAGATGGTGGTCCCTGGCCACCGAGCGGATGGAGGAGCCATGTCTGGGGGCCTCTGAGGGGACAGAGGGTCCCTGAGGGGACCAGTGTCATGCCCAGGGCTACCTGAGGGGATGAGGAAACCATTTCTGGGGATCTGTGACAGGATGTGTCACCAAGCAGATGTGGGAGCCATGTCTGGGGGTCCCTGAGGGGGAGGCTCAGAGAGGATGGGGCAGGGGTGTGGCTGTTCCTGGGGTTCCCAGGACTGTGGAGAGGTCTCTCAGGGGATGGAAGGGCCAAGTCTGGGGATCCCCAAGGGCTTGGGTTTCCTGAGCAGTTCTGGAGATCCCTGCAGGGTCATGCCCAGTGTGCTGAGGAGATGGTGGGCCTCAACTCTTCATTCTTCCTCACCTTTAAAATCCATTTAAACTCTCTATTGTTCCTGTAGTTCCTTCTAAGTTTAAAGGGTAATGAAAGGCTCCTCAGCATGGCTTTTCAGTCCCATGCTTGTTTGGTGACAGGGATTGCCTGTGAGGCTGGGGAATGTCTTGGGTAGCTCCTTTGTCATCCTGATCCAGTACTTTTTTTCCCCTCAGATACGTGGTACTGACCACGAAGCACCATGAAGGCTTCACCAACTGGGGATCACCCGTGTCCTGGAACTGGAATTCTGTGGATACGGGGCCCCACCGAGATCTGGTAGGAGAGCTGGGACAAGCCCTCAGGGAGAGGTATGGCACTGCCAGGCTGGGCTGTTCTGTTCATCTGTGTCTGTCAAATTCTGGCTGTTCTTGAGAAACTGGAGAAAACGACAAGTTTAATCTGAAAAAAGTAGTTGTTTCAGACTCATGAAAACTTCCGTGGAATAATAATGCCAGTAATCTAATCTGCTGCTGGTTCTTAATCCCTACTGCCAGCCTAACTCTTTCCTCTGTTTTCTGTCCTTCAGCAACATACACTATGGACTGTATCACTCTCTGTTGGAGTGGTTTAATCCACTCTATCTAGCTGACAAAGAAAGTGGCTTCAAGACCCAGAACTTCGTTTTAAAGAAGACCATGCCAGAACTTTATGATCTTGTCTTAAAGTAAGAGCTGCCACGCATTGGGAATCCAGAGCATTTCCTGGTTTCAGTGCTGTAGAGAAAGATGCAAAGTGGATGCAGAGAAGAGAGGTGACAAATGTTAATTTTTGCCAAGGCAAATCTATTTACTTACCAGTAACCATTTGTGGTAATTAGAAAAGGGGTTCACATTTGCCCTGTGGATAATTTGTAGAATAAGGTAGGGAAAAACCTCTTATACAAGAGCAGTTCCCTTTCTCTGCCTTTGTGCAGGGTGGCTTTGAAGGAGGAGCAAGCTGCTCAGTATTGAGTAGAGTAGAAGAGCAATGCCACTGTGAATTTACATCCTGGCCTTGTTGACAAAAAGAGGAGGCTTGGAGGTGTTGCTCCAAATGGCCATTGTCCCAGGTCAAGAATATGCCTCATAATTGCCTCTGAGATGCAAACTTCTGGTTTTTTGGAAGACTTGAGCTGTGATCAGCACATCATTCTTTACTGCTGCAAGAGCCTCACTCAAAGCTTTGTCCAAAGCAGAAAGTGACAGCACGAGCCTCCTGGTGATGTCAGGCAATAGGAAGAGGAAGTGGAGCCACAGTGCTTCCTTTATGGGGAGAGCAAATAAGCCCTTTTGAAATAACATTCATCTCTCTGCTAGATATAAACCAGATTTGATTTGGTCGGATGGAGACTGGGAAGCTCCGGAGTCGTACTGGAATTCGACCTCTTTCCTTGCCTGGCTTTATAATGATAGTCCTGTCAAGGTATCACTCCCAGCTGCCCCTCGTGGCCTCTGGCATCCTGGGGGTGTGGGGGGTCTGGCAGCAGTGAGGTATGACTGTGATCCAATCACAAACCTCCTTGACAGATGCCAAATGTGCTTGGTTCTTTCAGAAAAAGTAAGAAACCTACGCTGTGCTCCTGTGAGAAGACTCTTGTGTCTTTTAAAGCACACACATGGGGGGCTCAGAGGCCAGGAACCATGTTGCCTCAACTTCTACCTGAGTAAACAGAGACAGGCTCTCCCAGAGAGGGATTCAGCCTTCTCTGGAAGATCTTCTCACACTTTCCATTGATTACACAGCAGGTTTTAGGTGCTTCCATCCTAACTTAGATGCTTTTGCTGACGTAGGAGGGATGAACACAAGCTGAAAAGCCCAAGACAAAACATTCTCCCTACTGAGCTGATTTTCTTCTTCCAGGACACTGTTGTTGTTAATGATCGCTGGTGTAATAACTGCTCTTGCCACCATGGAGGCTACTACAACTGTGCTGACAAATACAGGCCAGGGACTCTGCCCCCTCACAAGTGGGAGATGTGCTCCTCAGTGGACAGGCTTTCCTGGGGCTACCGAAGCAACATGAGTATTGCTGAGTTGATGGATGAAGCAAGCATCATTGAGGTAAGAAATCTGAATCAACAGCTATGGGGGAGTTACTGAGGAGGTTTCCTTCATCCTCCTGCTTGCAGAAAAGGTTGTCATGTGTTTGGTACAGCCAGGCTGGAGTTAAAGGAGTGGTTAAAAAAAAAAGAGGTTTCTTTGTTGTCAAAGGTGAAGATAATGCAATTTGTTACCTTGATTTATCTGTCACAGGAGCTAGTGCAGACTGTGAGTTTTGGAGGCAACTATCTTCTCAACGTGGGGCCTACAAAAGAAGGGGTGATTGTTCCCATCTTCCAAGAAAGACTTCTGGCCCTTGGCAGGTGGCTGGACACGAATGGGGAGGCAATTTATGAATCGAAGCCGTGGAGAGTGCAGATGGAGAACAGCACAGACACAGTCTGGTAAGGACCCCACTGCTCAGGTACAGGTGACATTTAGTTCATATCCTACACTTGGAGTGCTCAGTTACTGCCTCAGGGTGTTACCTAAGGAATATCTTGTTTGAAAGAGGAGGATAAATATTAGGACTTTGTCCATCTTGCTGGATTTGCAAAAAAAAGAACCCTTCCTTCAAGAAAGTTTCCACACTGCTGCTGTCAGGGCTGTTTGTGCAGCAGTCCTGGCTGGTTTGAGTTGCACAAGCCTCGTTCCTCTCAACATATCCAGGCTGTACATGAAGCAGTGTTGGCCTGCAAGCTGTTATATAAGAGCCCTCAGCACTGTTAGATTTCTGCTGAGAAGGGCAGAGTGCGTCAAGAGCCAGGAATTGCTACAAAGCACAATTAGTGCCCAAGTGTGTTTGGTAGAAGTGCTGAGCAGCCGTGGGGTAAGGCAGCATCTCCACTCTGCTGGCAGCAAGCTGAGGCAACGAGAGAGCAGCGAGTGACGTTTGCCTTTAGGAAGCAGGCATGGACTTTGTTTGGGTTTCATCAGCCAGTGCCGACTGGCTGGTGGGTCCAAAGTGACAGATTTTGGGATGAGGGGAAAGTGGGTGACCCCTGTGTGGTGACACTGGGCAAGCCAGAGTTCTCCTGCTGTGTGGGAAGTTCAAGCTCATGTCTGGTTCTCTCTTATGGGCCTCTCCTGAACTCTTGCTCTCGTAGGTACACTTCCAAGGGACCTGCTGTCTATGCCATCTTTCTGCTCTGGCCTCGGGACGGTGTTTTGAAGCTCTCCTCACCCACTCCATCCCCAGCCACACAAGTAAGGAACTTGCAAAATAAAAAAAGAACACACCCTGACAGCACATCTTGGGCACAAGGGGGCTGGGAAGGTCCAACCTGACTTGATTTGGATGCTGGGGAGAGGGTGGAAGTTGTTCTCCTGTATTTGTTGGGGTGCTCTGGCCTCCTTCCAGACCCTGGCAGCATCCTGGGTCATTCCCCAGGCTTCACCTCACGCTCAGCACAGAACATTGGGTAGGACTTGCAGGGACAGGCTCACAGTCTGCCACAGAATAGGCAGAGGTGCTTCTTTTGATCCTGCTGCCACAGGAGGTGAAGTAGGTAGCAGTCCTGCCCCCCAGGAGGATGGCTGGTGTTGCATCTCCCCTCCAGAGCGGGTACACTGACCCGGGAGCTGCCAGCGCCGCTCGAAGTGACGCAAATGCCCGTGCCCTTTGCTCTGCACAGCCAGAGGTCAGGCCTCCTCAGTGAAAAAAAACCAACACAAATAAAACCAAACAAACACACACTCCAGTGTTTGGCCCCAAAACATCCCGTGTGTAACTTCTTGGTAATTTTTTAGCTGGCAACACACAGGGCTGTTTTCACGTGGGGGGAACGCTGTGCAGGGCCTGCAGAGCTGGCGTGGGTGTCCTGGGGTGCTGAGATGTGTGAGCCACAGCTGAGCGTTTCCCCTGCCCTCCACAGGTGACCCTGCTGGGGTTTGCAGGGACTCTGAAGTGGCAGAAGTCCCCAGGTGAAGGAATGCTCATAACTTTGCCCTACATGCTTCCATCTCCTCTCCCTCCTCAGTCTGGCTGGGCTGTCAGGCTTGAGGGTGTGAAGTGATGCTGCAAGATGAAAGCAGCAACCTGCTCGTGCCTTTCTTTGAATGGACTCAGAGGATTTGTCATTTATTGTTGAATAAATGGGTTTTCTCTTAAGACACTCTCTCTTGCCATCCCTCTTGCCTGGTCTGTGTGCCAGGGGACTTTGTTTGGTGCTGAAGGACAGACCTCTGCTCAGCTATGGGAACCTGAGGTGTCCTTTGCTGTGTTCTGCTGGGGTGTGACAGCCTGTGAGCCAAACATCTGTGCTTGGGACAAGAAGAGTCTTTGATGTAAAGCTGTTTGTTGATGTAAAGCTCTGCTTTTTGGTGGCTGTTACTGCTTCACTGCTGTGATTAGAGGTGATGATGTTTGACAGTGTTGGTGGGAGACTGAACAGAGGTAGTGTGGGGCAGTTAAGGGGCCTTGCTTTGAAGTGTCACCTTTCAGGCAGGAGTAGGCCCTGCTGCTTCCCTGGCTTAATTACTCATCAAAATTAATTTTGATAACCAATGTGATACTCTTCTATGTGGAGTCATGAAGCCTTGCATGTGGTGGACATGTTCTAATGAAGAGCAAGCACAGCTGCATCACAGATTCCTGCCTATGATGGACTTCATAAAAACAGGGGCTCGATAAGATGTGTTTACTACTTTGGTATTGACTGAAACTATTATGATCCCAAACTTCCAGCAGGCTTGTTGTTTGAAGAGGTTTAGAAGAAGTCAACAGGCTGCCCAGAGAGGTGGTCGCTGCCCCATCCCTGGAACCATCCCAGGGGAGGTTGGCCGGGGCTCTGAGCACCCTGCTCTAGCTGCAGATGTCCCTGTCCCTGCAGGGGGTTGGACCAGATGGCCTTGAAATGTCCCTTCCACCCAAACCATTCCATAATTGTATGAAATCAGCTATAGAAAATCTTCATCTAATTCCAATCCACTAACAAACTTGGATGTATGTTGTGGCAGAGACAGCTATAAGCAGAAGAAGTTTTGTTCTTGGGTGAATTTTGCAGAGGAGCCACTGTTCTGAGCTGAACCTCTGACTTAGAATCATAGAATCATTTAGGTAGGAAGGGACCTCCAAGATCATCAAGTCCAACCATTGAGCCATTAGGGCTCTAAAGTCCTCTGCTAAAACAGATCAGAATCTGTCAGGGTTGGAAGGGACCACAAGGATCCCCCAGTTCTTCTGCCAGTGGACTTCTGCCACTGCAGTGAAGTGAAGTTTCCTGCATGGGTGTTGAACTTCTCCAAAGAGTGTTGAACACCACGTGCATCCATGATGAAACTCCTCAGAACCCCGTTTCAGCTCCTGTGAAGGCCCCTCAGTTTTGCACGCAGGCTTCATTTTCTTCCTGCATGAAGTGGTGCAAGCCAAAGCTGCCAGAACACTGGGAGTTGGGGGTGAGCTGAGCCGTGGGGCTGGCACACGGGCCGAGCTGCTGTCGTGGGAGCTGTTACTCAATGAACAAATAACGCCCTGTACTGACGGACCTGCGTGGAGCCGGCGCAGGGGCAGCGGCGGGCGGGGACCCCCTCGCAGCGCCGGCGGTGACGCTCT